TTAATTATTGACACATTTAATTAATTATTTAATGGTGTATTTAATTAATTCATTATGGCAGTCCTGGCGTTCCACAGGTATCATCTGCGAGCTGACTGATTATTATCATCACAGTTAACCCCTCAATGTGACTGTTTTTAATCAAAATAGACAACAGCTCCCTTACTGCGCATGTGCAAAGTCGGACCGTACAAATCGGTCTACCTGATCCGTACCGCGCATGTGCAGGGGTTTTCTTCTTCTTCTGTTCGTTTAATGGCAGTTTACTCCCCAGTGTACGAGGATACCGCCACCTGCTGACTGAGCGAATGAACCCTATTGTAAACTAAATTAGCGTCATTACAAACGTGTGTTAAATTTGATTTAGTGATAGTCGAGTGTGTTTATGCTTGTCTGTGTGGAGAGGATTGTTGGAATAGTGATGATGATGTCCACTATCACTGTCAATTGCCAGTAAACACTTCATCTGGCTGCTGAATCTTCACGTGACATATTACAAAGTCTGTATTATTAACTCTGTCATTAGGCACTATTCTTCTTATTTTACGGCGCTGTTGTTCAATCGGGAACGCTCTCTGTTGAGGAGAAAAGCAAAAATTTGTTGCGGAAACGGATTATCCATTGTTTAAATGTCCCGGTAGTCGAAAAGAAGGCAGAGCTGTTGAGAAATGCTAAGAGCTAACTGGGCGCTAACCGTATCATTCAAATATATTGAATGTCGCAATGTTGGCAAAGAGAGGAAGTGACGTATGATTTGCGCATGCGGGGTACCGATCGGGTTTCCGGTACGGATCGACACAGGCCTGTGCGCGCGTGTGTGGAACCGTAATGGCCGCCGTGCAGCTCAGTTGCGCTGTTTGTTTTGCTTCATTGACTCAACCCCCCTGGGGGCGGGGCCGCTGCGGGGCTAAAGTCACGTGATCCAGGCAAAGCCAAACTGACCAATTCCAATATGGTGGCCAGCCTAGCAGGTCTACGGTTCCTGTTGATGGTAGTGTTGTTCTGCGGAATCAGGTACGGCGCCTGCAGCCAGAAAGCTCCGCAGGTTTTGGGGCTGCGACTGGAAGAACCAGTGGATCCGCTGTGCATGAAGGGTCGTATCATTTCAGCACCAAAAGGAGCCACGTTTAAGCTCCGTCTCTTCGGGTTTAATCTGAATGGAAGCTTGCCGTGGGTCGCGTTCGCAGGGGCAGCTGGCGGGGCGGCTGGGGCTGTCGGTGATACACCGGACCCTTGCGAGGAGCAGTCCAACCGCCAGGACTCCAAGTTAAAGGTGACCAATTTAGAACTCGACGATGCGCACAGCGTGCTTCTAACTGTGGAGGTTAGCACCTCTGTGGGGGAAGCTGGCAACGAGCAGACCTACTACCACCTGTGTGTGCGGAGTGGAGAGACATGGACATCTGCGGGCCTGGACAGACTGCGAATAAACACCGACACGGATCTGCCTGCAGACTACATCCCGCCGTGGGGTCTGGCCGTACTGATAGTGCTTGTGCTTATGATCTGCGGATTGCTGAGGACGGTGAACCTGAGCCTTTTGTGGCTGGACCCAGTCGAGCTTTATGTCCTACACAGCTGTGGATCCGAGGAAGAGAAACGAGCCGCCAAACGGCTGGAGCCGATCAGGAGAAGGGGGAACTTCATGGTGAGTTTCTAAAAGCACTTGGGGAAGCCACAGGGAAAGAAAGGTGCAAATGAAGTAGTGTTTTCTAAACGCATGTCTTTTCCACCGCAGGCATGTTCTTTGTTGTTCCTGTGTGCTCTGGGGCACTCTGTCCTCGGTGTGCTCTTGTACCGGGCACTGGGCTCCATCGTCTCTGCTGTGTTCAACAGCGGCTTCCTTATCTTCTTCCTAGCTGAGCTGGCTCCTCACATCTTGTGCTCCGGTTACGGCTTCCAGCTGGCACCTGGTCTGACCTGGCTGGCCCAGGTTTGCATGGTGCTTACCTGCCCCCTGTCTTGCCCTCTGGGCCTGATTCTGGATCTAGGGCTGAGGAGAGACATCAGTACCTGTGGGATAAGGGAGAGGGCCATGGAGATGGTACGGGCAAACGTGAATGATCCTTACAGGTAAATATAGTGGACTTGGGAGAGTATCACAGAGATCTGACATAGAGGTGCGATGAGTATTGACACTTGGTAAAAAAAACCTTTTATCAAGCAATCTGTTTGTTTGTTTTTTAAGAAAGAAAAACACACATGATGCTTCTGAACATACAGAGTAAACAGAACTAGAAAAAAAAGATACTATAGGACATAACCAACAAAAAGTGTGTTCTGTCGTACTCTACAGTGCATAATTCTTATGGTACATTATGTTAGATTCACTAACATACAGGACATATATTTGACCCCATAGTAGCCTAACACTGTAAAAAAATTTATGCTTGAGCCAGATTAAGTCTCAAGACTCAGTTTGCCATGTGTGTATTGGTCTAACCGTATTAACACCTTAGACTCAGACTCATTTTCAAAAGATTTAAGACTCGACTTGAACTTGGTTCAATAGACTTTTTAGGACTAATCTGCATTAAATTTGTAGGATTTGAGACCTGACTTGAAGTTGGTTCTTAAAGATTGGCCTAGAAGATTTGATAATTGACTTGATTGTTGACTCAGTTGTTTTCTTCATTATGTTTGTAGTGAGTTTGTAAAGGAGGAGTTCAGTCGTGGGACATTGCGCATTAAGACCGTGGAGGACATCTTGACACCTCTGAAAGACTGCTTCATGCTGCCTAGCTCGGCTGTCCTAGACTTCTCCACTATGTCTGAGATCATGCAGAGTGGTTACACCCGTGTGCCCATTTATGAGGAAGAGAGGTGGGATCAGCAACACAACACTCACTTAATAGCTTAACAAAAACACGGCATAAAAACTTGACATGGCAGCATTTACCTCATCTGAACAGAGTATCTGTAGAATTGGCAGCTTTGAATTAGGCTTCTTGGTATAACGTTGAATAAATGTAAATCCTTGGATTCACTCATTTAAAAACGTCTTTTCCTTGAAACCACCATGACAAAAAGACAACCGCACAAGTGTACATTTTCTTATAATCTAGCACATGGAAAATATTCTTAATAATAACCAGAGTATGTGTGTCCAGGCCTTTTATAACTTCAACATTTTTACCAAAGAATGAATATAATGGTAGCCATAAGAGTGCAATGGAAAGGTCTTTGGGAGACATTTCATATTCAAATTCATACCAATCATAAGCCTTTGTTTGATTTCCTTCAGGTCTAACATTGTGGAAATCCTTTATGTGAAAGACTTGGCTCTGGTTGATCCAGAAGACTGCACCCCAATGACGACTATCACCAAGTTCTACAATCACCCTCTGCACTTTGTGTTCAATGATACCAAACTAGATGCCATGTTGGAGGAATTCAAAAAAGGTTGGCTGCTGTTTGATTTGTGGGAATGGTTGGAATCATAGAAAATACAGTTGCCATGCTGCAAGCTTTTCACCTTTTTTATTTACATTTATTTTTATTTTGGAGCTTTCATTTTGCTTATATCCTGAATTATTAAAAGTCTCAAGTCTCATGACGCCTGATACATGCTTTGATCAAATCTTTAAAGTATTAGAGAGAGAAACCCAAAACAGTTAGACAGTCCCTTATGAGTTGGCCCCCTTTCAACAACAAGAGACAGATAGAGGCAGAACCAGGCTGACTGCTGTTATCCTGAAGCTAATAAGCCTTGATAGATAAGTATATAATGTCATCCTTTTGAGAAGTGATATAAATAAAGTAAATAAATAAAGCCTGAGTATCCTATATATTTTATATTTTTATTGACCTTTAATAAATGTATACTAAAGTACAATTAATTAGCTGTTGGTAGCTCTTATTGCAAAAGAATATGCTTGTACAGACAATCTTAAAAATAGCAGAGAATGCCAGCTAATCCCACTTCAGATTAGCTGATGATGATGATGATGATTCAACTGATTCCGTTTTACACATTTTATTAGTAAATCTCATATAGGGCACTATTTAAGTGGCTTCAGTGTGTCTGTTATGCATCTGTAAACTGCCTTACAACCCATCTCAACCCCAGATCTTGCTTTTTGTACTGTATCTGACTTCATTAATTAAATATTTATCATCATTGACGCCTGCCCTGAACTTTAATTTGATTTTTCTATAGAAGGTAAAGAGGTGCCAGAACTGCTATACTGCCAACTATAAATTAGTGCAGGCCTGTCCTGACTAATGTAGTCCAGACAGAATATCACTGGCATGTTGTGAATTTAATAGATGCTTATTTCTGTAATTTCTAAGAAGTTTGTACTGGAAATGACTTAAACAGTAACTTTATCACACTGAATCTAAAGAAAATCACTCCTGTAAGTTATGACTTTGTAGCCCTCCTTCCTGTTATGGCTCCTTTATAATTCAGAGTTACTCTTTTTACTCTAAGTACCTTTTTCCTCACTATAATTTGCCATTTAACCTTTATCCTTTAATCAGGCAACTCTCACATGGCCATCGTCCAGAAGGTGAACAATGAGGGAGAGGGAGATCCTTTCTATGAGGTGCTGGGTTTGGTCACTTTAGAGGATGTCATAGAGGAGATCATCAAGTCGGAGATCCTGGATGAATCTGATGGCTACTGTGAGTGTCTTTTGGAGTATTGGCTTCTTTGCTTCTTGTATTGTTATTTATTGTTATTATTGACTCCCCTTGCAGTAGACAGGAAAGTAAAGCGTCCCCTCACTCCACTGGAGATTCCTCTGGAGCCTCGCAGCACCCATGAGGAGTTTTCTCTTTTCAAGCCTCCTGAAGGAGAACCCAAGATCCGCACTTCACCACAACTCCTGCTAGCCACACACCGCTTCCTGTCCAGAGGTATGTGTTTATCTGTAAATCTTTACTGACCAAAGCTAGCACATGAATAAAATAGTCACAGTTTAACACAGCACATGTAATGATTATGCCACCGACCTGGTCAACCAAGCAGTAACTGGTTAAAGGTGAGTTGAGACCAGTCTCTGACTTTGACATTTTCCCTTACAGGAAATGTGTAAATGTATAATGTGTAAAAATGTGTTTGTATTTAAATGTCAGAACAACAAAGTAAAGTTTTAGGTCAAACATCTCAAAAAAAAGAAAAGGAAAACAACAACAATAATTTTCTGCACAATCTCTTCAGCATGAATCAACATATCAACAACACCAGATTTACTAACAGGGACAAATTCCGCAATTACAAAAATATGCACATGACAGTGAAAGGCTTGCTAATGATATCCTTACTTACTTGGCTACAGCAGTTCATTTTAATAATAACCAGCATTGTACCATAAGGTTGGAGTATGGTCTAATAACCAAATGACCACTTTGTGTAGGTTGTGCAAAATCTTGTGTTAGGAATTGCTGGACTCTGTGTGTGGATAAATGTGCGTGATGTCCAGATAAACCGCATGGCGTGAGTGGAGTGTAGGATTCATTTGGATAGGCTGTCCTATTACAAAATATTCCACTGTATAAACCTGAAATATCTTTTTGTCTGTAAAAGGCACCAAGTGTATGTTCTCAACAGCAGGTTTAATGTGTCTTTGTCCAAATTTGTTGGCCCAGAGTTCGCTTTCTGCAAACTAGTTTCCTTTTTCCAGAGAGTTAACCCTGGATCATTTATCATGCTTATTGACTCAATGAAGCTAATTTGCTTGTTGCCATATTTCTCTCATACTGTACTATGGAGAATAAAATGTAATAGTTTTACATTTGACTGTTTTCTCAATTTTGTAAGACAAAAACCATGGTTCACATTGGCACTTATTCATATTTAAATTTGAAATGGGCCTCTGCTTTTTATTTACCCAAATACTTGTTAAAATAGGTATCAGTTGATGATGGGGGTTGCCCATTTTTGCCATTTTCCCAAAACATGTTCTCCCTTTAAAGGATTTTGCTTCTCAGATTGTATCAACGCAGAGGTTGGGTTACACCATAGTTACACTACACTAGCTTTTTGACATTACAAAAAACAACAACTTTAAGAAGCTTTGGGGCTCCGACTCTATTATTTAGCAATACGTGCAGTGTCACAGCTGTCTAGAAAGTGGTGCATAGTCAAGTAATGTCTAACTAATTTTAGAAAGTTTAATGCAGTGACCCCGCCAATATAAACTGTATTGACAAAAGCATTCACTCGTCTGCCTTCACACCATTATCAACTGTGTGACATCCCATTCTAAGCCAGAGGGTTTAAAATGATGTGGGCTCAGCCTTTGCAGCTATAACAGCTTCAAATCCTCAGTCTTCATGTCAGATTCAGCAAGGTTTGTAAACATTTTTTAAGAGGTTTTGATTAGTGTTGACATGTTACCATTTGATTTGTCCACTGCACATCTGTGATCCTCAAAGGATCTGGTAATTGTGGCAGCTATTTGAGTATAGTCAACTTATCATCATGGCACCCGCTGTGCTCTTTTCCTGGTGCAGCCTGTCTGCTTAAAAGTTTGATGTGTTGTGCATTCAGACATGCTCTTCTGCATACCTTTGTTGCAGTGAGTGCTTATTTGAGTTACTGTTGTTTTATTATTAACTTGAGGTAGTCTGGCCATTTTGCTCTGTCATCAACATGGTCTTATCACCCAAAAAAACCCTTCCATCTGGATATTTCTTGTTTTCGAACAATTCTCTGTAAACCTTAGAGGTGATTGTGAGAGAAAAAACACAGTATAGCTGCAGTTTCTGAAATATCCAGCCCAGCCTATTTGGCACCAACAACTATTCAAAGTCACTTAATTTAGTTTTCTTCTCGATTCGGATGCTCTGTTTTTACTGTACAAGTCATCTTGATCATGTGAACATGCTTAAATGTGTTGAGTTGGTGCAATGTAAAAAGCTGACTAGACATTTGTGTTTAAGTAGCTGAACAGGTGTACCTAATAAAATGTTCAGCCAGTGTACTTAAAGATTCTAGAGGAAACCTTCCAGACTACTTATTTCAGTTATTCAAATAGTGTCATTTCAAACCACTTTAGATTGTAAGGTCAAGACTACAGTATTATTGAGCAAACCCCAACAATCATAGACTATTCCCTGTAAGCAGCTCCTTGAGTCGATGGGAAGGAAGAACTCCCTTTAAACATGAAGCTACGCTGCATATGAGTCATGACTACGTTTAAGTCATAACCCTTCCTCATATTATTATTGCCTTGGTAAGCACAGCAAAAATTATTAGAGTGACCCTAATAACTAATAGTAGATTAATTAGTTCTCACCTTTATCTTTCCTCTGTCTGAAAACAGGCTTGTATATCATGACTCAACTCTGAACCTAAGGTCCAGTATTGATGTCTTTGGCAAAAGCTACTGAAGCATTCAAAGAATTGAGCCTCGACTGGTCACAGCTAGTAACACTACTTCATTGTTGTGTAAAGCACTTTGAGTGCTCAGAGTAGAAAAGCGCTATATAAGAACCAGTCCATTTACAGCCAATATTCAACAAATTTCATTGCGTCCAGCGGTAGAGAAAAGTGTTCAGATCATATACTTAAGTAAAAGTACAAACACCATACAGAAAAAAGTACTTGGGGTAAAAGCTCTGGGGCCCCTTTAAGGAAGTGTCCACCTGACAAGTCATTTCAAATTATCCATTGACTTTCTAGGGGAGGTGCGGTTGCAGTCACTGTAGGTCCCATGATGTGAAAGAATAGAATCTATTGTTAACCCAAAATATGACATGGTTAAAACGATATTTCCATCTATTAATAAACATTACGTGGAAGGCACAAGGAAGAAATCACACACTTCCTTGTAAATGCTGCCTCATCATAGGACCGATTCATAATCAACAACAAATATGACACATTTTGAGTCAGTCCAGTATAACAGAGAGGAGCTGAGGTGGATATGGGTTGCAAAGTTTGCAGATAGCCTGCCTAAAGCTGCAGGATAACTTTAAAGGAATACCTGTCATTAGGTTTACCATCTAAATCCATAGAAGGTGAGGCATGACTTTAAAATCAAGTGATTTGTCCTAGCTTGACTTTGTGGCGTGCTTGATTTGGTAAAACAGAAAAAACTGTAAACTGCAAAATGGTAAAGGTAGAAGGAAAAAGGAAATTGTCAAGTGCCTTAAACTTGTGTAAATGCATTTCATTATTGTCCAGACAATGAGTTCACTTGTCCAATTTGACCTTTGGCCTCTTTAGAAGTGGAACACTTCAGCCCAGCACGTGTATCTGAGAAGGTCCTGTTCCACCTGCTCCGTCACCCCAGTGTCAACCAGGAAGTGCACTTTGACCCTAACAACCGTCTGAGCCCAGCACACTATCTTTACACCCGCAACCACCCAGTGGACTATTTCATCCTTCTGCTGCAGGTATTTGCTCATATACCCACACTTTTAAAAACTTTTAGCAAAACCAAATTTTGTCTGACAGGAACAAATATATACTTGAAAGTTTCTACCACAGAAGATTCAACTTCAAAGTTAAACTGGTAGCTTAAGTCAGTCTGTAAAGTGAATTCAAAGAATAGCTTAATATCTTTATTTATTTGCTTTCTTGCTTGAAGTAGAGAGAAGATTGACACCAGTTTTACATATGTACATCTATTGCCCTGTACTAAATGTGAGGATTCAGTATAACAGTTTCAAACTGGGGAACCAAGAGATCGTTTCCATATTTGACCAAAATACTTTTTATAATATCATGCATATTTTTCTTGTTTCCTTTGGATATAATTATTATTACCTTTTAGAACATTTTAGACCATGTTTGTCATTTTATATATATATATATATAAATTCCCCACTCGCCCCTGTGGGCGGTCAATCCTTCAAGCTCGGGTCCTCTACCAGAGGCCTGGGAGCTTGAGGGTCCTGCGCAGTATCTTAGCTGTTCCTAGGACTGCGCTGTTCTGGACAGAGATCTCCGCTGTTGTTCCCGGGATCTGCTGGAGCCACTCGCCTAGCTTGGGAGTCACTGCACCTAGTGCTCCGATTACCACTGGGACCACCGTAACCTTCACCCTCCACATGTTCTCGAGCTCTTTTGTGTGTGTGTGTGTATGTATGTATGTATGATCATACATACATCAAAAACACACTTAATAGTAAAAGTACAAATTTAAGACAGTAAAATACAGTCTAGCCTGACCTAACCTGAAAATCACTGACAGTGGAAAACATAATCCAGAAATAAGGATATAGGTAACACAAGCAAAGCAGTATAAGTTGCAAGGACATTCTTGTGAGTTTATTGTATACGTTTTCTCTTGTTTCCAAAAACAATATTCATTCATTGTGTGCATGTTTCTTGTTTGCTCCTTGTCAGGGCCGTGTAGAAGTGGAGATTGGCAAAGAGGGGCTGAAATTTGAAAATGGAGCATTTACGTACTATGGCGTGTCTGCTTTGACGCTGCCATCTTCAGGTGAGTTTACAAAACACAGAATTGCTTCACAATGCAGGGACAATTCACCCGAAGACTAATCATACAGATTTCTGGGCATTTAAATGCATCATCATGTTTGTTAAGATTGTGTATACTTCATGAATTAAAATTAAAAGCCATATTTAAAAAGTTAAGATTACAGTGTGTAGCCACTTATTGAATAGATTGTTTTAACACTCATAACAAAACCATTTACAAATTTTATTAAAATGTTTTAAGTAAGATAAACAGGGCAATTTCACAGCATTCCTGTAGAATACTAAAACAATATTACATATACAGTAATGTACTTTACATTATATTAATGCATTTCAAAGCGCGTGTGCGTGTGTGTCACTCCGAATGGCCTGGAAAATTGTGTATTAAGCACTGAGAATCCCGATAATTATTTAGAGATATTGTATTCAAGAGTTTCATTTCACCACTAGACTTCCAGCTGTAAGTAAGAATATGTGTCTTATTATTTTCATTATTTTTCTTAGTAAATAAAATCCACGAATCATCTTCACAATTTTAAAAGCCTGAAGTGACATCTTTCATGTCACATTTTTGTCTGACCCCTAAAACATTTTACATCCTACAGAAAATACTGCAAATAAAATCACACTGAGCTGCTGGAGCAGTTAAATGTTGTTTTTGCATACATAGTAGACAACAGATATTAATAAATCACGTTAGGGCTAGGTTTGTATGCTAAGTCATAAAAAATAAGAAAACAAATTGAGCAGGATAAATTAAAATCAGCCAAAATGTCCTGTTTTACATGCATGGATATTTTTTTTCGTAAAGTTTTAAAGAAATTCTTGGAGTTTATATTTAATGCCTGGATTTTAACCCCAAAGCCTTCATTTTCATATCAGCATAAAAGACTTCATGCATATAATGCTCATTTTAGGTATTCCCTTTAGGTTTGGCCATATAGTATTATAATTATAACAATTTTTCTGTTTAATCTAGACCTTATTGCTCATTTTAAATGATTAATATTTTTGTTTGATAAATGACCAAAATAATTGCCTAATTTTAAATAAAAAATATGGGAAGAGATTTTGAGCAGGAGTGACTCAAAGCATTAATGGAGCCCATGGGTAACATTTACAGTATTGGTAGCATGTTAGTTAAATCCTAGTTGAAGACATTAGAAATAGCAATTTAAAGGCACCTAACAAAAATTATGTGAACTACAGTTTAAAGCTAAACTAGTTGGCTTTAAGTGGGACCAAATTTTGTTACCTTTTTATTATTTACCTCTCATTTTATTTATACCAAGATTAAAACCTTAACTGTGATTTAAGTACATTAAAATTACATTATTTAATGGTCACTAAACCATGTAAACTTCCAATCATAAGCTACATTTTCAAGTTAGCAGTTTTCTCTTAATTCTCTCCATAGCAAGGTTTGAAGAAATTAGATTTAAACTTTATCATATATACTTACATATTAGTTAATTGATAAGATTTTTTACACATTCTTCATAATAAGTATAATACTTGTTCCAAGGGTTTGTCAGTTGCTTCAGGCACACCTCAAAATTTTATCTTCAAACCAGTTAAGCATACAATAAGCTAAAAGTATTTCTTAAAAGTATGATTTCTACTAAATCATAATGCTGTGTTTCAGTGTGTTTTCATAACAATGAGTTGGTGACAATAAGAAGACAAAAGAGCTCAAATTTGCAATGCTCCAGATAATGTGCAGACTGTGTGTATGATTGTGCAATTTCAGTGCACCAGTCTCCGGTGTCAACTCAGCGTCACTCTCCCAGGGATCCTTTTGAGTCAGCAGAAGCCACAAGCCCGTCCAGCTATTGCCCTGACTACACCGTCCGAGCTCTCACGGACCTCCAGCTCATACGAGTTTGTATATGTGTCTTTTCTCTTGGATAGTATTCATCCATAACAAAGCATTAAAAAGTTTTAATTTAATCTGTATTGGTTAGTAAAGCGTATCATAGACAACAAATTGATAATACAGTTACAGAAATATAAAGAATATAACAGTTTAACAGAGCCTACAATAATACAGAGAAAACCCCAACAATCAGATAATCCCGATGAGCAAGCTTTTGGTGACAGTGGGAATCCAGCCCTAACTAAGTCATGCATTTATTACTTCTATGCTCAACAGTGTTGGGCAAGTTACTTTGAAAAAGTAATTAATTATAGTTACTAGTTACTTCTTCAAAAAAGTAACCGAGTTAGTAACTGAGTTACAAGATTCTAAAAGTAATTAATTACTTGAAAAGTAACTATTGCGTTACTTTAAAAAAAATGTTTAACCCACTGGGGTCCAGGGTATAATTGGCCATTTTTAACTACTTTAGATTTCCCCTCTACATTTCACCTTCAAACTATTTACTTGCCTTGTTTAGTATTATCCTTTTTAGCACAACCTCATTTTGATATACTGTATTAACACAATTGATCTAAAATTAGACAAAAAACATAAAATCCGAATAGAAAAAGTTATGTTTTACTGTAACAACCACAAACATGTTTATTCAATCATATTTCATAACTTTAAATGCAATTATAAATTGTCCATTTTAAAATCATATGCAAAAGTTTTGCAAACAACAAAGTTATTTGCAGCCATTTACCTTTTACCCCCTTTTTTAATAACCATTTCAAACTATTTACAGAACAATCAGGTGTTCTGCATTCAATAAGATCCACTCCAAAAAAATAATTTCTATCCGCTATAAAGGAGAACATCACTGCCTGATACCTGCAGGTCTGACAGCAGCAGGTGTATCACTCCTGTTTCTACCTGGAGACAGCAGTCACCTCATTGTTCTGACACACAACACAATACTATCCACAACACCTAACTAGACAAGACAACACATTAATTACAGACTCCAAATATGCTGAACGTCACAAATCTCTCACATCTCAAAACTCGCTCTCTCTCTTTTGCTGAGAGTGCTTGCTAGCGCTGTCCTTAGACATTAAACGTGACAAAACTATTGAGGAAAAAACGCCACAAATTTGTTTATCATGACTCTGGTTTTACGTGGTCTACCAACACAATTTAAAAACTGGTATATATCACCTTGTTGGTTTGTCATCGTGAGGTGGTCATGTGATTGGCTTACCACGACTACTTTATTCTTCTTCAGTCAAACAGCAGCACTCAAGCGATTGTTTTGCCCCCTTAGCTACAGGTGTTGTGCCAAAAAGTGATTGTTGGGCAGAAAGTGATTGCCATCCGTGCAGGTGCTTAAAGCTGTAGTGCCCAGATTACTTACAGCTACTTCCGTGCAACTGATAAAAGATGCGGTAAACTGAAGACAGCATCTGTTTGTTGAAAAATAGTAACGCGACCGCACCGCATTTTCTTGTTAGTAACGGTAACCGCGTTGTAACGATAGAAATGGTAATTAGTTAGATTACTCGCTACTGAAAAAAGTAACGCCGTTAGTAACTCGGTTACTTGTAATGCCGTTATTCCCCTAGCTGATGCTTGACTACTGTAATTCATGATTATGAGGTTGTCCTAAAAACTCCCTAAAAACCTTTCGTTTTATCCAAAACCCTGCAGCGACATTACTAACTTGTGTGTACGTGTGTTTTGCAGGTGACACGTCTACAGTATCTCAATGCTCTCATGGCGTCACGCGCTGGCCAGAGTCCAGATCCACCTGAGATCAAGATTTTGCCGAACAGTCAGACCAAGCTGCTTAATGACAGAAACACCACGCAAGGTAGCTTTGTTCAAAATGATGTCTGACTTGCCGGGTGTGCTGCCCCATCTACTACAAAGCTTTGTTTTCCAGATGCCTTTTGTAAACGTTTATAGGAATGTGCATTCCTTTTTGCCTTCAGCTGAACTAAATTAATTTTTTCTCTTTCTCTTTCTTTTCCCTCCTTGCGCGCCTCCATGTGTCCTCTCTGCTCTGGCCTGTCCAGAGTTCCCTGTAAACTTTTCATTCTTTGATACCATTGAGAACTACTGTTAACACTTTTGTTTTGTTGCATGAGGTAAATGAAATGCAGCCTGTCACTGACTGTGTCCATTTCTGGTTTCTGGAACCATCTCACTTCTCCCAGTTTTACTGTAGTTAGCTGAGTCTCTTTGAATCTGCATGGCTGTTCTACTGAATTGATGCCCTTCACAAAGCTAATGACAGGAATCTGGGTGTATATAAAAACATAGGTGACAAATGGTGATGAATTGTGTCCTCTGGCATCCAAAATGTAGGTCTACACCTTACAATAGAGAGAACTTAGGTGAAAACTGTTTGTTTTAACCTGATATATTTCCCAATAATGTGCCTTTATGGATAATGCCCACTGTGTCCTCTCAGTTCAATTAACTTCAATTCAATTTTATTTTATACTTTCAGTTCACAATGTCTGAATGTACGTGAGTACTGTCAGGTAATGACTGTGATGTTAGAGAGCTTCAGTAATTCAGCAGTACACTATGAGCAAAGCACTCAGTCATGGTGGGGAGGAACAGTATCCTTTTTAATAGGAAAAGACATGTAAGAACCAGGTTCTCCAGGTCAGTTAGGTTCTATGTAAGCGATTTGTTCATTCAACTGCTCAGTTATCAGTCCTGCCTAGGTGTTAAAGTGGAGCTTTCTAATTTGGACAAACATGAAAGGCACGAGTTCTAGCACAGTACCATGTGGAACTCCACAACTGGTTAATGTGTGGAAGGAACACACCTTGTTTACATGAACAAATTGGATGAGATAAATATAACTCAAACTGCCACAGTGAACCATCTTCATTGTACAGATTCCAGAAAAAGAAGAATCACTCAGAACGGATTATACTGACATCAAAAGCACCCTGCAGCTGCAGATTGCTGTTTCAAATCACAGCTCTAGAAATGGGGAATATATCAGAGTTAAATAAAGCAAAATTATTCTTTGAGAATAATATTAAATCCCTCCCCCCAAAAAGGCTTATAATATTTTCAAAAAAAGGTTAAAAGGTGAAATATATGTTAGACTGTAAATTTGAAACTGCATAAAATAAAATAAAAAAAGAACTAAAAAGATCAATATTATGTGATAAATTAACAGCTCTAACCTCATGTCAATCCCATATTGTGTTTCAGAGATTTCTCTCCTAATTGAGCATGTTAGCCAGCTAGCATTTGGATGTACCCTTTGTGCCTTGGTGTGGAATAAAAACTCTCTGGAGCCTCCAATATGATCTCTGTCCAACATGAGAGGAACTTGTAGATCTGTCCAGAAACAGTACTGTGCAAATATTTCAGGCAGGTGTGAAAAAATGCTGTAAACAAAGAATTTAGAAAATTCTACACAAATAGGGATGCAGCTGCTTCAGGATAGCAATTCAATGCACCTTCAAAACAGCAGGTACACTATGTACACTTGCACACAGTTTTTGAAGGAACTCGGCTAGTAGCTTGTTCCAAACATCTTGGAGAACTAACCACATATCTTCTCTGGATGTCTGT